TGAGGGTTACCTCTTAGTCAGGGTCGGTTATTATGTTTGTGCCTCATGACTGAGTGACGGGCAAGGACAATATAATTTATGCATGAGCTTGATGACAAAAATATTGGAATTAAGTCTTTCAAGGCCTTAAATTCTGCCATTTTCAATGGCTCTTAACTTCAATGGGAGTAAAAGAGCGACATGATTCTAAGATTTTGGTGCACTGGGACCAATGGTCATGGAACCTCGATTAAGTCATGAGGAGGATTTATATGTATGGGAGATATCGAGAGGGTTGAGGGTTACCTCTTAGTCAGGGTCGGTTGTTATGTTTGTACCTCATGACTGAGTGATGTGCCAGGGCAATACAATTATTTATAAGCTTGATGACAAAAAACCTTGTACAAGAAGGTTAGGGTCAATAAAGGACATTGGTCTAAATCTCTGAATCATAGAACCTTCTTGTAGCATGTGCATATGCAGTCACAATTCATGGGAAGCTGTTCTTCTAGGGATCCATTGGTTAGAGTTATACACATATGCTAAGAAAGGAACCCTGTACCATTTGTGTGCGTGTGTCCCCCTTCTAGGGGGTGCCCCTGAAATCCATTTATACTGGGGGATTTAGAGTCGCACATCGGTTTGACTTTTATAAGTTGAGATCCTGAGCCCTTGATTATACATTGTATGTCATGAGTCTGTTGGGTCATATTGAGAAGGTGGCTTTGGATTTTGGATCTAGCCGAGTGGAGTGCTTCGTTTCGTAATTCAACTCCAAGGATCCTAATTTCCCTTGTAAATGTTTTTAATCACTTCCAAAATGATTTATTTTGATGGAAAATCATTAAAATGATTTTTATGGATTTATGATAATTTTTCTGGAATTTTCTGGGAAAGAAAATCCATTTTTCGAAATTGTTTGGAAGAAATGACAAAAAAAGACAGTCCATCGAGACCCACACAGGAGATCCAAACGGCCAATGAGTGTCCACGTGTTGGAATTGGGGGGTTCCATGTCCCCTCCACTTTGAGATGATGTGGAGGGGATGTCAACCTCACAAGGGACACCCATGTCTTCATGTAATTTGTTGTTGTAACTTAAGGATATTGAATTATGGCATTTTACGAAATATTGAGCTTTTGAAAAAATTATTTTGTCACATGTTTAATGCTTCAAGCAAGGGGTTTGTGCACATGTGTGGAAAATTCTAGAAGGGGTATAGGGTTTGTAATTACAAGCCTAACTCTAAGGGTATATGGTAAATGTGCAATTAACCACCTAGCTTATGTGACATAATTTCATTAACCCCACATGCTCTTATAAAATGAAGGGAACTTTTGATAGTTGTCGTTTGCTGGAATATTTGACAAATTACCCTTGGAGTAATTCTCTATGCCTAGCTTTTTTAGGTTATGCAATAGAAGGGGGGTAGCGGTGGCTAATGGGAGTTGGGATTGATTGCTAGTAACCACCTAGCTTATGTGGCATGATTTCATTAACCCCACATGCTCTTATAAAATGGAGGGAACTTTTGAGATTTGGTTTTTGCCGAAATATTTTACAATTTACCATAAGGGTATACCCTCTATCTTGGTTTTAGTTTTATTGAATGTAAAGTCGGGCAGAATCCTCTGGAAAGCCTCTTTAGCTGCAACATTATGGACAATTTGGCTAGAAAGAAATTCAAGAATTTTCTGTGGAACCAAAAGCGAACTCCCAACTCTGTTGCATAAGGTTAATTCGCTGATAATCTTTGGGGCATCCAATCACAGACTTTTCGCCGGGATTGGGAGACTCTTATTCACCTCACTCCTCATCGCACCTCAAGAGCATCCAACTGGACGCCTCCCCCAATGGGATCCATTAAGCTAAATTTTGATGGATGCTCCTTGGGAAACCTAGGCCTAGCTGGAGCTGGAGGGGTTTTCCACAGCCATAATGGTCATATTCTCACATCTTACTCAGAACACCTTGGCCTCGCAGACTCATAGTTTGCAGAGGCTACAGCCCTATTGCTGGGTATCAAGAAAGACAACCCTTCTTAGGGTTCACAATTGCACATTGAGAGAGATGCCAAAAACATTATATCCTGGGCCTCTAGAAAGGCCTCTCCTCCTTGGTACCTAGCCCACATTTTTGACGATATTGAGCATAATTGCAGGGTCATAGACGTCTCATGGATGTATATCTAGAGGATGTCGAGCGACTTCGCAGATCGTCTTGCTAAGGAAACTGCTCGGAATCAACCTTTAGGCGCCGTTTTTCTGCGACTTGGATGCATTCCTAAGTTTCATCGTAGGTCCATCTCTTTTTTTGCTCTGGGCCTTGGCGGGTGGCCTTTTTCTTCCTCTTTTGCGCAACTTTCTCTTTTGTAAATGGGCGTATTCTATAAGCCCCTCTCTCTGAACAGCTCTTAATTTTTGCTTCTCGGGTGTTGTTTTAGCCCGACCTTTTTGTACATGTCCACTCTTTAGTGACAATTTCTTGGTTGAGAGACCCGGTCTGTGAGTCCTCTCGACCCATACTTTTGTACTCCTTTGTTAATAATATTAACCGTTAACATTCTCACAAAAAAAAAAGTATGCTTGGGATCTGATCGACCCTCACTCATCTCACTGTAAAGATAGCTGATACTCCTTCAAGTTGAATGTCAAATAATCTCAAGAATGATGATCGTCCAGTGTAGAGCTCTATATGCTATAGGAAACTTGTTGGGAACTTAGTTTGTTTGACTATGAATTGCCCTAATATCGCAATTTAGTAACATTGTCGGCCAGTTTGTTTTAGACCCTTATCGACTATGTATGATAATTATGCCTCACATTATTTGATATGCTTGAGGAATCTTAGACAATTCTGTCTCTTTTTGTTCCTCATTCTTATATCATATTTACCAAAATACTCATCAACCATTATTCCTTGATTATTCCCCTGTTTTATTATGAATATGTGAAATGCCAGTGTATCAATCTCCAATATTGATGCTGATTGTTGGCAATATCTTCTACTTATGATGAGGTTAATTGTGCGCAGCGCTTGCTTAGAGATGCGAAATGTTATATTTCTGAGTCCTATTTTTCATGGAGGCAGCAAATGTACAGAGGTGGACTCTCTCTTTATTCGCGAGGAGTTTACTCATGGTTAGATCTCCGTTCGTTATGTATTTCTCCTATTTTGACACGATGGGTTGTTGGCCAAATCTATGATGCGATTTGCAAATTTTTGTTTTTTAAAAACTTTTTTTTTTTTGGGTGAGTCAGTGGGGAGAGGGCCCCTACCCTTGGTCGGAATTGAGCCTAGGATGTAGTGTTGCAAATCGTCAAATGCTAACGAATTAAGCCTGGGCTCTTTTTTAAAAACTTTTACATCTTTGATTGTTATATGAATTACATTTTACACTGTCAATTTGAGACCTACTTATTATGTTTAACAGTGCACATGCATCATCCATACTGTTTTAGGGAAATTATTGATTGTTATATGTATTATGTTCTTACACTGTCAATTTGAGGACTCCTAATTATTAAGTTTAACAGCACACATACATCATAAATGCATGTTGTGTTAGGGAAATTAGTAAACAATCTATTCAAGAAGGATTGTTGTTCTCAAAATATGCATTCATGAGAACAAGTTCTCAACCTACTTTCTCCCAAAAAATTAAGCAGGATTACTTGTTCTCAAAAAAGTAGGTTGAGAACTTGAAAATACTGTTTCTCTCTCTGGTACCCCATCTCAAATCCTCTCTCTCTCTCTCTCTCTCTCCCTCAATCCTCTACCCAATCCTTCTTTCCCTAACCCTAGTGCTCTCGCTACCTTAACTTTTGCTGAACAGGTTTCACTCTTCTCCTATGTCCTTTACCCAATCTCACCCAAGCTCCTCTTAGCTCTTTCTCTCTCTCTCTGGCTAACCTTCACTCTACCATCTCTCTCTCTCTGTATATATATGGGAAAGGTTTCTATACTTCCCCTACAACATAGAAGATCTATGCTTCCCCTACCATCCAGCCGTCCAATTTTGATCAAGTGTGCCACTCACCGTTTGATGTTAGATTACATTATTTTTAATTTTTTTATACAAATTGTACGAATTTGAAATTTGGTACGTGTCATATTCTCATTGGGGCGCAACTACAAAAAATATTAAATATTTTTTTTATAAAATAGACAAAAATACCCCTTGCAACTTTCAGGGGTATTTTGAGTTGAGAGGGGTATATTTGTCATTTTATTTTATTGAGAATATTTTATTTAGATTTTTTAGATGTGTGAGTTTAATAGAGGATTGGACGTCCAAAATTTGGTCTCGAAGTATTTTATAGAAAAAATATAAAAGTAAAATAATGTAGGGATGTGACATTGTGATTGGGGCCATCTTAGCCTTCCACTCAAAATGGACAGTTGGATAAGGGGAAGTATGCAAGTTTTATGTTGTAGGGGAAGCATAGAAAGCTTGCCTATTTATATAGGTTTATTGCTACCCTAGCTGTAGTAAGTTTTATGTGTGCTCGTGCATGTGTGTGTGTGTGTGTAATTAGGTTTATAGCTACTAGCTGTAAGAAGTTCTTTTTCTTGTTATACAGACCTGCTTGAATTTCCAACATTCAAATTTCTGTGATTAGTGTGCTCCTTGGGTTTGAATTTGGCTAATATGCTCTGGCATGTACCAAGAGATCAAGCATGGGAGCCCTGATTTCTGTGTTCAAGGATATGAATTTTATTGACATAGGTTTCATACGTATAATCTGGTTATGAATATTCTGTTAGGAAACCTCCCTTTTTAGTTCATGGGGCCTCATCTTTTATAAATTTGAACCATATAGATGAGGTTTTGTACAACTGACAGTTGCAGAACTGAAACATTAAATGATATTCATTTGACATCTTGAACACTTGGAGTCCGCCTAGTTTGGTTTTTTTGTGCTTTCTTTTCTTAATTATTCAGTTACATTGTCAGCAGCAGAATTTGGATCAGCGGTATGAGTCGTTCCTTAATAACTTATGCTTGCATGTTCGACAGTTTTGCTTAAAGCTCTCATTGCTTGCTGCCTTACCGACAAGTTATGGAGGTTTAGATGGCTGTGCTATATACATTGATACTGAGTCAAAATTTAATTCAAGAAGGTAGAGTAATTGTGTAACATTCCTCCAATGTTATTTGAACTTGAACATGTATATTCTCTTGGTCCTCGCTTAACTGCCTTTTCTATCTATGACTATATCACTCTGAAGGCTTATTGAGATTGCAGAGAACAGTTTCCCAGAGATATTTCATCTGAAAGGAATGGCACAGAAGGTATGCAAAACTGTATTGATGCTATAGAAAAATCATCTTTTTTCTGCTCTAGTTGCAAGGAACCATTTAAGTTTCCCAACACTGATTTCAAATGTTTGCAGCTTGCTGGTAGGATTGTTGTTTTGAGACCAACATCACTTACAGAATTCACAGAAAGGTCTGAAAATAATAAATTGTTACTAATAAATTGTCACTTACAGAATTCACTTACAGCTTGCTGGTAGGATTGTTGTCTTGGACCTCTGCTGCTTATTTTTGCGCAATTCTTGCTTGCCTCGATGTATGCGTTTGTAGACACTCTGGCATGTTGATTGCAATTGACAACATATGGGTCTTGCATGTGCATTCACATATGTATGCATGTGTGTGCTGATGTACTAATAAACTGGAAGATAAATAATTTTTAAACTAGAAGATAAATAATTTTACATTCCTTTGGACATTATGATCCTCTTCAAAGTATGAGTTAGAACAGGTCTCCTGCTTTGTGGTCTGTATGGTTTTACAATTTTAGTTTCTGGACTCGAAATCTTATTTTGTTAGCTACTGGTATTTGGTGGCACCGGTCATGTTGTTTGATGCTTACCATTTCAGCTAAGATATCCATGTAAATCATCATGAGGATATCTTTTATAAAAATTAGCTTTTTTATGCTTCACTTATTTCTTTCAAATAAAATATGCAAACCTTCTGAAGAAGCAATCAGTTAATGAAATATATTAATCTGGATCGTGGCTCCTTATGTTGATAATAAATCAAGTAGAATCAAGTGAACTCTTGCCGATCTAGAGTTCTACCACGTAGAAAATGATATGATGAACCTCAGATAAATGAGAACCACATGGAGTCAAAACATACCTGTCACCACATGAACAACATGGGGATTGTCTATTGTCATCGGAGCCAAATGTGCAAGAGACTTAACTAGTCATCTATAAAAAAAGGCCCAAGGAATTTTAGCTACTGGCGTTTGGTGGCTCTGTAATTTAACTTTTCAGCTAAGTTATCCATGGGGTAGATTACAATTGTCCTTTCCTCGTCTTACTTTTAAATATATGAGAAAAACATCATGAGGATATCTTCTTGAAAAACTATCTTTTTTCATGCTTCACTATTCTTTTGAATAAAATAGTCAAACCTTCTGAAGAAGCAATCAGTTAATGAAATATATTACTGTTGATTGCTTCTGAAGAAGCAATCAGTTAATGAAATATATTACTGTTGATCATGGCTCCTTATGTTGGCAATAAATCAAGTAAAATTGAATGAACTCTCGGGAAGCAAACTTCCCCAATCAGGAGTTCTACCATGTAGAGAAATATATGATGAGCCCTAGATAAATGAGGACTACATGGAGTCAAGGATTCAAGGTATAATGGTTCTAGGATTCATCCCTTCATCATGATAGCTGATCTAGGGATTGGATGGCTCAAATTAAATCTCTCTTCACCACACAGATTACCTGGATTCCTTGGTCAAAGCTGAATCCTAATTAGAGGAGACAACCTTGGACCCCAGAAAACTCTATATAAGGGGATCCATCATTCTCAACACCTCAGTTGGTCCTCTCTCATCTTTTCTCTCTCTCTCTCTCTCTCTCTCTCTCTCTCTCTCTCTCTCTCCATGCCCTACGAGCCTCTCTCTCTCTCTCATCTTATCTCTTGTCTCTCTAGGGGGTTGCACGCATCACCCATTGGACACCACCTAGGTTGGCAGACACCTGGGTTGGCACGCACCCACCCCCAGCCCAGTTAGAGAAACGGGTAAGAAACCATAGTTCTCTCATATGTGCTTTCAGCTCGAGTATGAATTTGGGTTTGTAAGCTTCCCATTTAGAGGACTCAGCAAGGACCATTGGATCAGGCACTGCAAGTTGTTATTTGTAACTCATTCTTTCTTTATGAGTAAAGTTCATTTTAAGGCAGTACGAGTGTGATCCTTAGATTGTAGCAGGTTTTATTTTTTGTTTCCATTGTAATAGGCAGTAGAATTTGAAAAAAGGAGAATTTATTTTTAATTTATACACCATGTAATTCTACTTAGCCCACCTTTCACATTAAGGGATATATTCTCAGAGAAAGGAAATCTGTGGAAAGTTACACTTCGCCAGCATATGGACGAAGACATCATTATCCCTTTGATGTTCGACATATCTCAATATTTGATAATATGGTAAAAACTCCAATTGACCTAGTCGCAGAAGTTCGTCTTTTATATTCAAGGGGGTATATGTGTCCACCCAAAACAAGCATTAGAGATAATGCGATCTTGCATTAGAGATCTTGTCCCCACATCTTCAACATATGTGAGTTGTTGAGATAAAGAACGGGCACATTCTCGTAGTGGGTAGATCTCTACTCATTCGATCTAGCCTCCTAAAGCAGTTTTGAGTATGACATAGTTTCCACCAGTATCCATCTCATAAACTTGTTGTTTACTTCTATCACATATAATGCTCTTCCATACAATTAACTTATGCTCAAACCTTCAAACTATCCATTCCTTTGTGCTTGCCAGAAATAGAAGGAATTTGTGGCCTCTAAAGGCCTGGTTGTATTACGCATGCAGCGAGCTCTGACCTTTTTTACTGGCTCGACAACTTCTTTAGAAGCCAAAAGCACTCTTGATGCTTGGATGAGCTCCAAATGTGGTAGAGTGGCGAAGAAAGTTCTTACATACACTTTTCTTTCTACCCATCAACTCCCAATCCAAGGGGAGTACCCTAATCACAACCTCATAAACCCAAAACATCGGTCACAAAACAACCAAGATCGCGTTTGCTTCTTTTCCTCCCTATTATATCCCTACCTCCTGACCAACTCAATCCCTCCAACTCTAAATCGCTCAAGCTAAGCAATCTTTGAGACTTGCTCAAATGAAGAATACATTGATCCTGACTTATAATCCTTCTGCTCAATGGAGTCCGAGGAGATTGAGAGGATCCATAGATCAGAAGGAGATATAGACAAGATAGTAAAAGTGATGGTTCTCACCTATGACGGATCAAAGCACATCAGCAACAAATTCAAGAGCACTGCAATCAGAGAAGCTATAGTGTATGGGAGATGATATAAAGAGCTCACAAACTCGCATGCTACATAGTTGTTACACAAGTTTTAATGGGTATGAGCCTATAATAGTGACGGGCCATACTACCATAACAGCCACTATATTAGGCCCATTATGCATAGGAGTTACATTTGTTACACAAGTTTTAAGGGGTATGAGCCTATAATAGTTGCTATGCTCCCCCTCAAGTTGGAGAATAGATATCATAGATAACCAGCTTGTCTGAAGTATCCTTTAGTTGAACTCGATTAGATGCCTTGGTAAATATGTGTGCCAATTGATTCTCAGAGTGAACATATAGAGTACATATTATTTTTGAAGCGACCTTTTCTCTGACAAAGTGGCAATTGACCATAATGTGCTTGGTTCTTTCATCCAGTGTTTCAAAAAGTGCTAGGCGGTCGAGGGGGTCCAGGCCACCCAGTTCCTAGGCAGGCACCCAGAACTTGGGCCGCTTAGTAAAATATTTTTTTTTTTGGGTTTTCTCTCTCTAAAATAGCCTCTAATGGGTTGTAGATTTCAAATGAACCTAAAACCCACAATTTTTCCCCTTTAGTATTAAAAAAATAACCAAAAAATGCCCTCAAAGAGCTGTATTTCCGCCCTTAGGCCTAGGCGGGTTCAAGCGGGCGCCCAGGGATATCCCGCCTAATTTGGCCACCTAGGCTTGGGCGATGCGCTCAGGTCTTCTGGCTCGCCTAGGCGCAGAGCGGTCCGCTTTTTAAAATGCTGCTTTCATCAAATACTGGATTTTAGGCAATATCAATATCCGCTTGATTATCAGAATGTAGAGGAATAGGAGTTGATGCATTAACACCCATATCTTGTAGAAGAGAAAGGAGCCAAATTATTTCACATGTAGCATTTGCCATTGCTCGGCTTCTGTAGAAGATTGAGCTACAACACTTTGCTTCTTTCGCTTTTAGGTGACTAAATTACTACCCACTATCATAAAGTAACCACTGGTAGATCATCGATCAAGAGAACACTCGACCCAATCTACATCGTAGAAATCTTGTACATCAAGATACCCATGGCTAGTATAAAGTAACCCTCTCCTTGGAGCAAATTTTAAACATCGTAAAATGCGATAAACAACCTCCAAGTGATGGGAGCATGGTGTGTGCGTAAACTAGCTTACTACGCTTAGAACATATGCAATGCCTGATCACATGACAATCAAATAAATAAGTCTACCAGCTAATCTCTGATATACACCAGGGTTACTCAGAGGCTCTAACTGTTGATGATACAGTTTATGATTAACCTCTATAGGTGATGATACTGGTTTGGCTCCAAGCATTCTCATGTCATTTAGGAGATCAAAAGTATACATTCTTTGAGGCAAAAAAATTCCTTGTTTAGTTGTATCCACCTCTATTTTGAGGAAGTATTTCAATGGACCAAGATCGTTGCTGTAAAAAACACCCGCAATAACTGTTTCACTTTTTGAATTTTGTGATCATTATTCTTGTGATCACAATATCATCCACATATACTAGCGGTATTGTGGTAGAACAATATTATCTTTTAACAAATGCATAATGATAAAAAACACTCCTTTGAAATTCGAATTGACATATTGCTTCTAACCAAACCCAAGGTGATTGTTTCAATCCATATATAACTTTCCTCAATTTGCAGATCTTCCCTTTCTCCCCTTGAGGATAAAACCCAAGTGGTAATTCCATAGACACCTCCTCTTGCAAATTGCCATGTAGAAAAGCATTCTTCACGTCTAGTTGGTGGAGTGGCCATTTCCTATTTGTTGCAATCGATACTCAAACTCCAAACTGTTGGCAATATGGCCTTTCAAGGCCTTAATGCCAAGAGTCTTTTGCTTAGTGGGAGTGAGTGAGAGAGATAGAATCTGGATACTTTGTGAACTGGGGCCCAAATTCTCTTACCTTGAGTACACGAGGCACTGAGAGTTTATATTTTGAGAAATCAATTTCTGAAGGACGTGTGAGGGTCACCTCCTAGTCAGGAATTTTAATTAGAATGCCTCGTGATTAATTGTGATTAGCCAGGGCTTGGAGAATCTAATCAAGTAGTATGGAGCTCGAGTATTTGTTGAGAGTTGGCCCT